TGGGGGCGAAATTTCTAGTTATTCAGTTTTATAGAAGGGCAGAGTGAGCGGGGACATTAGAGAACTTCTCAACTAATCCCTTTATTTTGCAGATGAAGAAACAGAGTCCAGAGGGGAGAATTCTGAAATGCAGGGGTTACAGCACAGTTAGGAGTAGGGCTTGGACCAGGTGCTCCCTTTCCTAGAACAGACACTATGTCATAGTCTTCTGTCCCTTGATTTCATCATCCCCTTCCAGAGAATGTGATGTTGTCCTCTTTTTCTATTTTTATACCCTCCCCACTAAGACCCTCCAACCCCTGGATTTAGAGACAGTAAGGGCTTTTGAGGTTATCTAGTTCAATCAACTAATTTTACAGTTAGGGCAACTGAGATCCCCAAGAGGTTAAATGACTTGCCCAAGGTCTCATAAGTAGTGAAGTATCAGAAGTAAGATTTGAACTCAGGTCCTTACCCTATTGCCTCCCACAGATGCTACTCTATGAATGATAAATACCTCTTTCATTTTTCCAGTGTCAGAAATATTTCATTACAATACAGCTTGTCCTGCACCAAAGCCATGAGGACTCCTAGGTTTATTATGTACAGATGGCCTTCCTGAAGATTATCCTGAGTCTCCTATAGAATAACGTCCCCACCTCTGTGCTGTGTTAGTTTCAACACAGAAATGGGTTGGAGAAGGTAGATGAGAAAGCCTCCAGCACAATGTATAGTGGGCATCCAGTAAATATGTGTTGAAATGAAAGAATGAAAGGCTTTGGCATAAAAAAGAATTATAATTTACATGTAACTTAAGTCATACATAAATTATCTATTACACATAATATATTACACTACTATATATTATATATGTATAATTGTACACATAAAATTATTTATTATGTATAATTATATATAATATAAATTATATAATATAGAATTATATATAATTTATGTATAACTTCTATTGACAAGTTATACATATATATATATATATATGTATGTATATGTATATGTATGTATTTACAACTTGACATGGTAGTTACAGAACTGGTCCTGGAGTCAGGAAGATTTGGGTCCACGGCCTGCTTCTGATCCATCTGGGCTATGTGACTTTGGGCAAGTCACTCATCCTCTCAGTCTTCTGGGTAGCTCTTTAAGACTATAAATGATACAACAGTGTAAATGGAAAGAACACTCACTCACTAAATGATCAAAAGTGAATTTAATCAAATTATAAAGATTAAGCAGGACTCAAATGAAGACATACGAGAAGACAAATTCCACCCCCTTCATGGAGGTAGGAGGTCCACAGGTGGTACACATTGCACATGTTTTTGGACTTTTACAATGTATCAATCAATTATGCTGATTTTTTTTTCTTAAAAATACTATTTGTTATATCGGATGGCTCTCTGAGAGGGGAAAAGGGAAGAATACTGGGGATAACTGATAGTCTGAATGTTTATCGAAGCCTACTTTTTTTAAACTTTATTTTTCTTGTGTTTTTTTGTCTGTGTTTTCTTTCACAAATGTGATTAATATGAAAATATGTTTTGCATGCCAAAATGATAATCTATATCAAATTGCCTTCTCAAGGAAAGGAAAGGGAAGGGAGAGAGGGAGAGAATTTGTAAAACACAGATGACATCAATAAAATTATTTTTAAAAAAGAATATAAGCAATGCAAATGAAAACAACTCTGAGGTATCATCTCACACCTATCAGATTGGCTAATATGACAGAAAAGGGAAATGACAAATGTTGGAAGAGATTTGGGGAAATTGAGATGCTAATGCACTGTTGGTGGAGTTGTGAACTGATTCAACCATTCTGGAAAGCAATTTGGAACTATGCCTAATGGCCTATACCTTTTAACCCAGCAATACCACTACTAGGTCTGTATCCCAAAGAGATCAAAGGAGAAAGGAAAAGGACCTATATGTACAAAAATATTTATAGCAGCTCTTTTTGTAGTGGCAAAGAATTGGAAATTAAAGGAATGCTCATCAATTAGGGAATAATTGAACAAATTGTGATATATCCTTGTGATGGAATACTATTGGACTATAAGAAATAATAAGCAAGATGCTCTCAGAAAAACCAGGACTTACATGAACTGATACAAAGTGAAGTGAGCAGAACCAGGAGAACACTGTTTACAGTAACAGCAACATTGTATGATAATCAACTGTGAATGACTTAATTATTTTCAGCAATACAGTGATCTAAGACAATTCCAAAGAACTAATGATGAAAAATGCTATACATCTCCAGAGAAAGAACTGATAGTCTGAATGCATATCGAAGCCTACTTTTTTTAACTTTATTTTTCTTGTGTTTTTTTTTGTCTGTGTTTTCTTTCACAAATGTGATTAATATGAAAATATGTTTTGCATGACTACATGGTAATCTATATCAAATTGCCTTCTCAAGTAAAGGAAAGGGAAGGGAGAGAGGGAGAGAATTTGGAACTCAACATTTTTAAAAATGAATGTTAAAATTGTTTTTTAGATCTAATTGTCAAAAATAAAATATCAAAAAAGGAAAAAAAATGTTATGGATGAGTTGATGATCTGATTGGTATGGAAGCTCAAGAAACCAGTATCTTGCATGAATGAGGTAACAGTGCTTAGATAATGGGAAAAAGATACAATCATTACTTTTATATTGGGCATTACAATTTTGAATGTGCTTTCACACACACGTTTCCTATTTGATATGAGAACTTTGCAAAGTCAGCGGGACAAGTATTATCGTCCCCATTTAACAGGTTAGGAAACAGGCTGAAAGTGCTTAAATGTCTTGTGTGTTAGTACATACCAGAAGTGGGTCTATAATGTAATTCTACTGACTTCCTGTCATGTTCTTTCTACATCATACTGCCCCCCCTTAGCTGACTAAGCCAACATTGATCACAAAGGTCTGCCTAATGGTTAATCTTGGACACACTGAGATTGGAAGCTTTTGTGTGATTTTAAAATGAGCAACCTTAGAAATCATTCATTTTTAGCCCTTAAAGCCAGCGGGCAGTAGCCTTCTCAGCCCAGTTAAGGAATAAGCCTGTGATGCTGCTTAGAAGGAGGGCTCATTTGATGATGTGATGGAGTAGACTGGGTATGGGCAGGACCAGAGGTCAAAGCAGATGCAGAAGGTCACAACAATTCAATGGGAGGACCTTAAGAGAACTTTACAAACAAAAATGATGGATTTTTTTTAAAATTTTTTTTGTAGTGGCCAAGAATTGGAAATTGAAATTGGGGAATGGCTGAACAAGTTGTGGCATATGAATGTAATGGAATACTATTGTTCCATAAGAAATGATGAGTAGGCAGACTTCAGAAAAACCTGGAAAGACTTACGTGAACTGATGCAGAGTGAAATGAGCAGAACCAGGAGAACATTGTACACAGCAATAGCAACATTGTGCGATGACTGACTTTGATAGACTTAGCTCTTCTCAGCAATGCAAGGACCTAAGACAACTCCAAAAGACTCGTGATGGAAAATGCTATCCACATTCAGAGAAAGAATTATGGAGTCAGAGTGTGATTCAAAGCATCTCTCTCTCTCTCTCTCTCTCTCTCTCTCTCTCTCTCTCTCTCTCTCTCTCTCTCTCTCTCTCTCTCTCTCTCTCTTTCTCCTTTTTGTTTCTTCTTTCTTGTGGTTCCTCCCATTGGTTCTAACCCTTCTTTACAACATGACTAATGTGAAAATATGTTCAGTATGAATGTAAATGCAGAGCCTATATCAAATTGTATGCCATCTTGGGAAGGGGAGGGAGGAAGGAAGGGGAGACAATTTAGAACCCCAAATCTTATAGAAGTGAATGTTGAAAACTAAAAACAAATAAATTAATTAAAAAATAAAAAAATGTTTTTGTTTGTAAAGTTCAACATGATATTTTCTCTGTCATGAAGCACACAGGTAGTGGTCAGAGATAGAATCTGATCCCAAGTTTTCTGACTCCAGAGACCTCAAAGATCACTGACAGAGAGAACAGCATGTTGTACAGAGGGGAAGTACTTGACCTCCTTCCATGTCAGCTTGTCTCTAACCATTATTCTGCCCCACTATATTAACTCATTATTTGTGTTAGAGTATTTTCTTCTTGGCCATTTGATTTAATGAAGTTTAATATCTCAGGGCCTTGGTTTCCACAACTGTCAAGTGAAGAGGTTAGATGAGATGGCCGCCAAATTCCCTTCCAACTCTAGACCTGTGATCTTAATAAATTCAGGCTGAGCTCCCAAGTACCTAGGGTATGAAATGGCACAGGAGTATAGTAATCTGTCAGGAAGACCTGAGTTCAAATGTGGCCTTCCTACTTGTGTAACCCTGGGCAGGAAACTTAACCCTGTTTGCCTCAGTTTCTTCATCTGTAAAATGAGCTGGAAAAGGAATGGCAAACTATTCCAGTATCCTTGCCAAGAAAATTCCATAAAAATGGGCTCATGAAAAATTGGACATGACTGAAAACAAATAAATAATAACAAATCTATTTCCACAGAGATGAAAGGCAAAGAGAATCAGGGAAAGTTGTCTTAGTTGAGAAAGGCTGAAGTCCCCAAGTAACCCTATATTATATCCCTAGCTATGCATCCATTGAGGCAGTTACCTGGGCTAATTCTTCTCATACATAATACTGGGGTAATAGTACCCACTTCATAAAAGTGTTATGAGGATCAAAAGAGACAATATATGTAGAGAAGTTTGTGCCTATTTAGTGCCATTCATCTTAGGCAGCTAGGTGGCACAGTGGATAGAGGTGGGGTCAGGAAGACCCACGTTAGAATCCTGCCTCAGATACTTAGTCGCTATAAGATCCTGAGCACTTCACCTCTGTCTGCCTCAATTTCCTAATCTGTAAAATGGGGATAATAGCACCTATCTCTTAGGGTTGTTGTGAGGATTAAGTGAGATAATATTAGCAAAGCACTTTGCAAACCTTTAAAGCACAATATAAATGCTAGCTGTGATTATAATGATCCTAATCCCTCTCTTGTTTTTCCTTCCTACAGGTGGCCGAGATAAGCGAGGTGGACCCATTCTGACTTTCCCTGCACGGAGCAATCATGACAGAATAAGGCAGGAAGACTTGCGGAAACTTGTGACCTATTTGGCCAGTGTGCCAAGGTAAGGTTTAAAGGATGTATTCTCAAAGGTCAACCCTGTCTGTTTCTGAAAGAGTGTAATGGGGCCCCTGCGAGGGCAAGGGTTGGTTCTCCAATCGGAAAGTCTTCTAACCATGCTCCCATCTCCCTCACTGGCCTCATTGTTGTCATGGTTAATATTCATGCAGTGGGAGCTATGAGGAGAGATAGATAGATGGTCCATTTCGGGGGAAGGGCAGTGCCCACCCTTGGAAAATTCGATTGCACTCAATACAACAAACATTTATTAAGCACCTACCAGGGGTGGGGATAGGGACTGGATCTGTGTTTTCATTTATATGGAAAACTCTCAAGTGAAGAAATTCTCTTTACCAATGGAGGTCTGTACTTTCTCTAAAACATATAGTCTTAGAATAGGAGTTCTTAACCTGGGTTTTGTGAACTTTGAAAAAAAACTATATTTCAATATAACTGGTTTCCTTTATTTTGTGAATTTGCAAACTTTTTTTTTTCTGAGAAGAGGGTCCTTAAATTTTACAAGATTGCCAAAGGGGTCCATGACACAGAAAATGTTAAGAACCTTTGTCTTAGAGGGTTGTCTGGGGCATGAGAGGTTAAGTGACTTGCCCAGAGTCACATGACCAGAATGGACGAGAGGAGAGACTTGAACTCACGTCTTTTTGGCTCCAAAGTCAGCTCACCGTCTACTATACCAAGATACCTTTCAGAAGCTGAGGACAGAAGCACACAAAGGAAACAGTCACTGCCTTCGATGAGCTTACATTGTAATGGGGAAGTGGTCATTGTTGTTTATCCTTTGTTCTTGAAGATTCGGATGATGACATCAGGGAGGTGATGTCATGACACGCAAGTGAATTGGATTTAAGTGAATGGAAGCCCAGGTCATGGGAAGATAGTTGGGAAGTCATACTCAGGAGGTTTCTGTATTGACTGATATCTTGACTGCTTTACTCAATTAAGTTTTCTGACTTGGAGAATACAGTGCCTATATTTGTAAACTGGAGTTTGGGGCAAATAGCTTACCTTTCCAAATGAGGGTAGAAGCTGCCTTTGGCTGTGGGTGGTGTCATGCATGCAATTCTGTCCGTAAGGGTGACAGAAGAACACGTCTCTGGGAAGTGACCACCTTTCCAGGGAGGGAGGCCAATGCCAGGCTTGCTCTCCACATCACAGGCCCACTAGCCTGGTATGGTGGAGCAATATGTTTGCATGGGGCCGGCTTTGGAGAGAGATTTCCACGGAGGGAACCCTACTGCCTTTAATTTTACAGCGGTGTGGGCTGCTTGGCATTTGCTATGACCAGTTGGAAATGGCATCTTATCTTTTCTTCTGTTTGTTCCAGGTTTTACTGAAAACCTGGTAGATTAGGAAAAGGAACAGGGTGTTCTGATCTGACTTCGATGGGAAATCACCACCAATCTTTTAAGCTTGCTGATGAAATACTTGTAGCAAGGATCGAGTGGGAAGGCAGTAAATCTTGAGCTATGAAGGAAACACACATAAGATAGGAAAGATAGGGCTCAGGGACATGCACTTAGTGAACTTAGCAACTCTTGTTTTTCAGAAGAAATAGAACGAAATGAAAGTTGTACGTAGAAGAACTGACAAGTCACTCCTGCGCCCATCCCACCTAACCTTGGTTATGTAATCATAAATTCAGAGCTGGTCTTGTCCAATCCCTCAGGAAACTGAGCTTCTTGCTCAAGTTTACTTGGATAGTAAATTAGGATCGTAGACATAATAATAATAATAATAATAATAATAATAATAATAATAATAATAATAATAATAATAATAATAATAATAATATAATAATAACTAACATTTATGTAGTACCTACTATGTGCCAGGCTGTGCTAAGCACTTTACAAACCTTATCTCATTGGATCCTCACAACAACCCTGAGAGGTAGGTGATATTATTAACCCCTATTTTACAGCTGAGGAAACTGAGACAAACAGAGGTTAAGTGACTTTCCCAGGGTCACACAGCTAGGAAATATGTGAGATTGGATTTGAACTCAAGTCTTTCCAAATCCAGCTCCAAGCCTTTATCCACTGTACCATCTAGCCAACTGATGATATATTGATCCTATATACTGAGGCTATATTAACATAGTAAGGGTAGGGCATCTGTGAGAGAAATTTGGAATAATTCTTTTAAAAGTTTTTTCATTAATTAATTAATTAAATTTTGTTTTCAACATTCACTTTTATAAGGTTTTGAGTTTTAAATTCCCCCCCCCACCTTCCCTTTCCCCTCTCCAAGACAGCAAGCAATCTGATACAGGCTATACATGTACAATCATATTAAACATATTTCCACATTGGTCATGTTGTGAAAGAGGAATCAGAACAAAAGGGGGAAACCATGAGAAAGAAAAAACAGAACAACAAAAAAAGAGAAAATAGTATGCTTTGATCTGCATTCAGACTCTATAGTTCTTTCTCTGGATGTGGATACCATTTTCCATCTAAAAGTTTTAACAAAGGGATATTTGCTGTGAAGATGCAGCATGAACAGAAGTACAAAAGTTTTCCCTCAATGCCTGGGGGCACGCTCTTCCCCAGACTGCCTTGGTCCCTGGGGAGAGTGAGTTCCTACTCAAAGCAGTTTCTACAAAGTATTGATCCTACCACTTTCTCTATTGTTGTTCAGTCGTTTTTTCAGTCATGTCCATATTTGGGGACCCTAAATTCATGTCCCTATTTGTGGTTTTCTTGGCAGAGATACTGGAGTGGTTTGCTATTTCCTTCTCCATCTCGTTTTACGGATCAGAAAACTGAGGCAAATAGGGTGAAGTGACTTGCCCAGGGTCACATGGCTAGGAAGTATCTGAGGCCAGATTTGAACTCAGGTCTTCCTGACTCCAGGCCTGGCACTCTATCCACTGCACCACCTACTGCCTACCAAGTTAACTTCCAAATGTATCATAGCCATTGGGTAAGTCATTATCTCGGCAACCCTGCATTGGTATTAGCTGGGCTGAAAAACCCAGCATGGGTTTAGACTTCTTGTGGCTTTCCCTTCTGGCCCTTTTTGATTTTCCTTCACCTAAAATAGGAAAGATAGACAACAGAGTCAGAAGTCACGTCAGGCCCTTGCTCTCACGGACCCCACTGAGGCCCGAGGCATTTTTCTCCACTGAAAAGATTCAGCAACTGTTGTGTCTTCACTGGAACACATCAAAGCATTTGGACTGGATGGATTTGGATGGAAGAACTTTCCAACAGGGAATGATGTGAGAAACTAGAAGGGAGCCACTGTAGAATTCCCTTATCTAGAGACTATCAAAGGGAAGAGAGATTCCCCTCTCTCCTTGAAGCAGGAATAGGAATCACATAGTCTATTTGTTGAACTCGGCATGGGATGATAGAGATGAGATGTAAAGAGCACCAGCCCCTCTAATAGACATAGAAAGATGATGCTTCTTTGGAAGTTTCCCTTAGAGAGGCACAAAGGACCATTAGTTCATCCAGAGCCACTAGCAGCATGGATTTTGGGGAAACAGTAATAGGACCCATAGGGAATATGTTATGCTTATTTTCCTGTCTGGTGGTCATCACTAGTAAACTCCCTGCATTCACTAAATCAAAGAAGTCAGAAGGGTTTGAGGAATACTCTTTGTCTTCTCAGGTAGGATGATGGGCTCATGCGATAATAGATTTAAAGCTAGATGAGACTCTCTCATTTTTTTCAGAGGAGGAAACTGAGGCTGTTGGTGTTTAAGCAACTTGCCTAGGGTTACACAGCTAACAAGAGGCAGGATTTGAACCCAAGTCTTCCTGACTCAAAGGTCAACACTGTATACATTATATTGCATACTCCTGGAAAGGAGGAAGAATGAAAACAGGTTTTTTTTTTCTGAGAGCGTGAAGGGAAACCAATGCCAAATGGAACAAGGGTGGCACAGCAGAGAAAGACATCTTTTGTATTTTTGAATTCATGCAAAAATAGGAAATTAGCATGAAGAGTGATATTGTAGAAGCCTTGTCCAGTGCTGGAGCATAGCTAACTTCCTAGCTGTTGCATGAAGTTGTATATAATAGATTTGCAGTTTCATGTACAATCTTTTTTTATTGTATTATGGTATGGAAATGCTTGTTTTATTCCCTAGATTAAAAACAAAATAAATAAATTTTTTAAAAGCCCTGTCCTGTGCTCCATGCAGCACTGAGAATGAACCATAGCTTCCAGCAGGAAGAGGAATCCTGCTGCATCCCCTGGGAGGAAGAAGCACATCTTGGGGGTGGGTGACTGCCTCCCCCCATCGAGGGAGACAGCTTCAAGGAAGCCTGACTTGGCTTATCAGGAGGTATGCTGTCTTACAAGAGAATGTGATGGAGAGACTGCCAAGACTGATCTAAGCTACTGTTGCTACCCACTTCTGTTCATTCATGATAAGATGTCAGAAGACATAGAGAATGGAGTTCTACTGACTTTGAGGTTCTAATGGAGAAATTGAGTAATACAGGATCATAGATTTAGTGTTAGAAGGAGCCTTGGAACCCATCTATTTATAGATGAGGAAACTGAGGCTCGCCCCGTGAAATAACTTGGAATCCTGATTTTAGAGGTAGAAAGGACCTGAGAAGCCATCTAGTTCAATTCTCTCATTTTAAAAACAGGGAAACTGAGGCATGTGTGATTAAGCATCTTGCCCAAGGTCACATAGGTAGTGAGTGACAGAGCTGGGGTGTGAACCCAGGTCCTGATTTGAAACCCAGTACTCTTTCTACTGTGATGTTTTCTGTGCCACCTCTCAAATGGCTGCAAGTGCAATTACAAATCTAGGATTTAAATCCAGGGCCACTGGTTTCAAATCCAGAACCTGTTTTGCTATCTTGCTCTACCTCCCAGCACAGATCATGTTTTTGTTGTGTCTTATCATGGCTGGTAATGGCTCTGGAAGAGAGGGCGTGCTCTGGAGTGTGGTTAGCTACCCCTATAGAAGGTTTTCATGGAAATAATCGGGCTTCCTATTGGCAGCTTACGGTACAA